GCCCATACAGCCATGGTTCCAGCCCCAGTTCTGGCCCCAGCAGCCATGGTTCCGGCCTCTGTTCCGGTCCAGCACGCCATTTCTCATCAGGGAAATCTTCTGGGCCAACATGAGCAGATGATGCGAGCCTTAGTTGAAAGCAATCAGTCCATGGCTCTACACATCTCAAACCTTGCTGCTCAGGTCTCAACTCTGACGTCTTCTGCTGCATTTCCTGCCTCCTCCAATCCACCTGTGGATTCCACTCCAGCCCCTCGTGTCCTGTCGGTGGTCCGGCCGACTCCAGCACCTCGTCTCCTGTTGGCTCTCCGGCCGACGCCAACCCCATGTCCTGTCCTGTTGGGGGTCCCGCCGACACCTGTCCCGCCGGGGGCCCTGCCAGCTCCATGTTCTGTGCCGTTGGAGGTCCCGCCGACTACTCTTCTGCCGGGGGTCTTGCCAATCCTATGTCCTGTTCCGTTGGGGGTCCCGCCGACTACTCTCCTGCCGGGGGTCTTGCCAACTCCATGTCCTGTCCCATTGGGGGTTCCGCCGACTACTCTTCTGCCGGGGGTCCTGCCAACCCTATGTCCTGTGCCGTGGGAGGTCCCGCCGACTACTCTTCTGCCGGGGGTCCTGTCAACCCTGTGTCCTGTGCTGTTGGGGGTCCCGCCGACTACTCTCCTGCCGGGGGTCTTGCCAACTCCGTGTCCTGTCCCATTGGGGGTCCCGCCGACTACTCTTCTGCCGGGGGTCCTGCCAACCCTATGTCCTGTGCCGTTGGAGGTCCCGCCGACTACTCTTCTGCCGGGGGTCTTGCCAACTCCATGTCCTGTCCCATTGGGGGTCCCGCCGACTACTCTGCTGCCGGGGGTCCTGCCAACCCTATGTCCTGTGCCGTTGGAGGTCCCGCCGACTACTCTTCTGCCGGGGGTCTTGCCAATCCTATGTCCTGTTCCGTTGGGGGTCCCGCCGACTACTCTCCTGCCGGGGGTCTTGCCAACTCCATGTCCTGTCCCATTGGGGGTCCCGCCGACTACTCTGCTGCCGGGGGTCCTGCCAACCCTATGTCCTGTGCCGTTGGGGGTTCCGCTGAGGGTCCTGCCAACTCCACGTCCAGTATCGTTGGAGATCCTGCCAACACCTGTTCCGCTGTGGGCCCTGCCAACCCCAGATTCTGTCCTGTTGGGGGTTCCGCCGACACCTGCTCCGCCGGGGGTCCTGCCAACACCTGTTCCGCTGTGGGTCCTGCCAGCCCCATGTCCTGTCCTGTTGGGGGTCCCGCCGACACCTGTCCCGCCGGGGGTCCTGCCGACTCTGTGTCCTGTTCTGTTGGGGGTCCCGCCGACACCTGTCCCGCCGGGGGTCCTGCCGACTCTGTGTCCTGTTCTGTTGGGGGTCCAGTCGACACCAGCCCTTGCTACATCCGGGGTCCCATTGACACCAGCCCATGCCATGTTCGGGGTCCCGTCTGCGCCTGTCCGGTCGGCTCCGGTTCTTGTCCGGCCGATACTGGGTCCTGCCCGTCCTCCGGTGTTGTCCCGTCAGCACCTTCCTGCCCGTCCTCCGGAGCTGTCCCGTCAGCGCCTTCCTGCCCGTCCTCCGGAGCTGTCCCGTCAGCGCCTTCCTGCCCGTCCTCCGGAGCTGTTCCGTCGGCGCCTTCCTGCCCGGCCTCCGGAGCTGTCCCGTCGGCGCCTTCCTGCCCGGCCTCCGGAGCTGTCCCATCAGCGCCTTCCTGCCCGTCCTCCGGAGCTGTCCCGTCGGCGCCTTCCTGCCCGGTCTCCGGAGCTGTCCCGTCGGCGCCTTCCTGCCCGGCCTCCGGAGCTGTCCCGTCGGCGCCTTCCTGCCCGTCCTCCGGAGCTGTTCCGTCGGCGCCTTCCTGCCCGGCCTCCGGAGCTGTCCCGTCGCCGCCTTCTTGTTCGCCCTCGAGCCCGGCCCCCTGATTTCCCCAGCCGTGGCCTTCGCCCTCGAGCCCGGCCCCCTGATTTCCCCAGCCGTGGCCTTCGCCCTCGAGCCCGGCCTCCTGACTCTTTCAGCCGCTGCCTTTGCTCTCATGCCCGGCCCCCTGAGTTCGCCCGCTGTGGTCTTCGCCCTTTTTTTAACTCTGCCTTGCCCCCGGGCCGTCCGCCCGAGACCCCCTCCTTGATCTCTGCCTTGCCCCCGGGCCGTCCGCCCGAGACCCCTTCCGGGTCCTCCGCTGTGCCTCTGGGCTGTCAGCCCAAACCCGTCCTCCAGACCCCCTCCACCCACCCTGCTGGAATTTTTTGGACTTTTTGGGACGTCTGGGATCCGTCCCTTGAGGGGGGGGGGGTACTGTCACGATCTGTCTGTGTTGTGTTTTGTCTTGTCTTTTTCAGTCTTTGGTTTCCTGTTTTGTTTTGAAAAGTGTTCAACCCCGTCTTGCCTGTTGCTTCCTGTCTCTGTGTTCCCTCCTGCCTGATTGCCCGATTGTGTTCACCTGGTGCCCCTGTGTTTTCTCCTCCCTCCTCACCTGTGTCTTGTTTGTGTGATTGGTCTTGTGTGTATTTTAGTTCTGGTTTTTCTGTCTGTCATTGTTGGTTCCTTGTTTGTATTTCACTGTGTGTCACAGGGTAGTGTTCTATTGTCTACTTTGTACCTTGGATTAAAGGATTATTCTTGGAAATCTGCATTTGGGTCCTGCCTGCTTCACTCAACCCTGACAGTAAAAAGCACGACCAATCATCTGAGCCGGCCCGGCTAAAATAACTGGATGGCCTACCTGCCTGTCAGCCTTCCATCTGTGCACAAACTTATCTCGTGCCCTCATTGGTCATGTGCGCGTTCGTGTGTGTTGGAGGAGGGGCTCTGTAAGGAAGTAGATTTTCTCCGGCTGTGTATTTTCAAATTCTAGCGCACTCGAGCTGGTTTCTCCAAAATTACCTACCCCACCTTTAATGTTTTACACTTCTCTATGTTTTAACTTGTATGCTACGGATAGCATCGTTAGCACAGATGTAGCTTCGCCTCACTCGTTGGCTGAATAAAAAGACCAGTAAGAAATGAAGTGCTTGAATTTCACTTACCGAATGAACTGCGTTCATGGACGGTCTGTTTGAACCGCAGAGCCATAAGATAAGTGCGATATTTCAATGAAGAATACTCCACCAGGCATCAACACAACAAACACGTCCGAGTAGCAGGGTGGAGCTAATGAAGCTAACGGAGCTAGCAAAGAGACCACTAGCAGTTTGGTACTTCTGTTTCATTACAATGACTTCCCCCCCCTCACACACCTAGGTGAAAAGCATGCACATTCCATAATGAGAACCTTTCAGTAAAATGTTTTTCAGGAGTGTGTGAGTGAGGTTTTCAGTGAATGTGAGAGTATGTCAGTGTGTGTGAGGTTAATTTATAGTTGCATGTGTGAGGTTAATTTTCAGTTGTGTGTGTGAGAGGTTAATTTTCAGTAGTGTGTGTGTGCGAGGTGAGTTTGAATTTTGGCCTACATGGCCCTTCATAAATAATTGCAAGTCTCTTCCGTGAGAATGTCCCAAAATGATTTAAGAAGAAAAGCCAAATCCTGGGAAAGAAGAAATATTTAAATGAAGTGAAAAAAAGAAGTGAAATTTAAAAAAAAAGAAGTGACATTTAAAAAAAAGGAAGTGACACTTTTAAAAGTAACATTTAAAAAAAAGAGTCAAATTCTGAGAAGAGGGCCCATTCTAAGAAAAAAGGCATATTTTGAAGAAAAAAGTCTAATTTGAGATGCATTGTGGGACATGTAGTTTATCGGCAACGTGCTTCTGTAAATCATCATGTAACCGTATAATAAACATATAATATTCTTTGCAAGCTCTTGTGGGGCCACAGAAAATGAAGTCACGGGCCGGATTTGGCCCCCGGGCTGATGTACACCCTGATTTTGTGCGGCATGTCTTGTTTATTCACATGGTGACATGGTTTTTATTGCAAATGCTGACATTTTCCCAGTTTCTTGTTGGTACTATCAAGCCATTGTCCCATTTCTCTGCTAAGATGCAGCTTGCCTCTTGACAACAAGGGAAGCCAACTCCTCTGCTGGAAACATCACACAATCACACATCTACAAGTCAAGTTCATTGTTCATAAGGACGCTACAGGTGAATGCTGACCTCATAACAATCATCAACAATCACATAAGGGTTCACAACCACTGGCCTCCCTCTTCTTCCAGATTTGATATATAATCTGCATCGTATGAGATTTACCTGATGGCTGTAGCTAGCATGTCCTGTGCCAACAATAGTTTCTGCTGATGGTGCAACATTAAGCCTCAGCATAGAGGAAGATGCCAAATAACACATCTGCATTGAGGAAGTTGAGAACGCACCCCTCAATGAGACATCTGGCCTCTGGTTGGTTACCCTTAAACCTTGATGTTCACCAGGGCATTGCAATCCTCTATTTTCTTTTTTGTTTCAATGGAAGAAATCATTTTTAGCATTTGTATCTGAGTTTGGATTAAAATGCACAAAGTGATATTGAACTGAACTCCTTTCAGCAGCCATACATTTTGTAAGATGTTGCTGTCCTATATAGGAATATAAGCCCTTATAAAATGGTTCATTTATTTGTTATTGTTATTATAGTTATTATAGTAGATTGTGTGATATATGTTTTTGAATGCACATGGTGATTTAAACAAGTTCAAAATGGATCAATAGTTATTATGTTTGGATCAACAGGGATCGAAGAACAAAAAAGAACACTGACAAAATGGACTGACATTTATAACGTTTATACCTGTAAACATGTCAACAGGTTTTGTTTTATTTCATTTTGTTAAAGCCAATAAACACGTGTATGCACAGTGCAGTTGAAGTTCAGTGAAATATGTATTCAAGTATATACTAAAGTCTGGCAGAAGCTCAGGAACAAAGTCATCTGACTTGCGTGGCCTGTCACATTATTTCTCAAAAGGTTATAGCCTGACTTTGACCTGTTACACAACGTAAAGGCTGTGTGAGGTCAGTAGGCGTGTTGTGGTGGAGGTTAGGGGAGGAGAGTATCTGAGAGTATATAAGTCACCTCACAACATCACATTCCATCAGACTTGAAGCTCCTGCTGGAAGTCAGAAGACCCTCACACAACTCTGCTGATCTACACAACTTCACCAGGTGAGGACTAACAGACAGACACAGATTTATAATAAAAACTGTACTTTTCTGTGTAAAACTACAGCTGCTAGATTAGTGTCTGCAGGGATATACTGCATTACTAAGCAAAGTTGAGAGTCAGACTCCAAGTGTTATTAACTCTCAACACTCCTACTCCTCAACAGACGTTTAAATCAGTTTCTGAAGTCTGTGTTGTTTCTTCTCAACAGGTTGGAGAAATGGCCTCAGATCTCATGACCGTTGCTGCTCTGGGACGACCTTTCACCCTAGGGATGCTCTATGATGCTCGGAAAGATGAACTGGTCCCAGGTAAGACTTCACATGGTCACAAAGCTTTCATCATAGTCACTGTACAACAACAATTCACCAGGCCTAACATGATTTTGTTAAGTTATCTTTTGATTGTCGTCGTGCCATTTTAAATTGAGTGTGTTATGAGAGTTGTTTCTTTGTCTCTTTGTCGTGCATCTGTGCATATCGGGAATATTCTTTCACTGCTTTTGTCCGTAGATTGTATTTTGTATACATTTATTACATGGCTTAGTTGAATACTTGATTCTGATTGGTCAATAAGAACATTTCAGAGGTTATTGATACTCCATAACAAACCGCTGCTTAGCAAAATAATGAGCTTTGCTGAGGAGGATCAAGGGAGAGAAAGAAAGAGGTTAAAAGACAGAGCGTTGGAAGTCAAATAAATGAACTGAAGCAGACAGACAGGAAGTAAATACTAACAGGAACACGGTATGGGCTCTGTAGTGTTTAAGGACTTGTTTGTGGAAACTGAACAGACTTGGACAGAGAACATTGATCAGAGCTGCCTTCATTTTAGATTCACTTGTTGTTGTCGGAGCTCCATCCGTTAGTGCGCCGTGGAGCGGAGTTTACTTTCTTAGAGGAAGAAATACGATCATTTTCAAGTCAATAAAATCATTTAAATTAATATTGGGAGTCAAGTCGTTAGTGTGTTAGCGTGTGGGCGTGTAATAAGCGGGATAATGTGCAGCGAGGCGGCATTATTCAGAGTGATCAGGGAGCCCGACGCAAAGCGGAGGGATCTTGCTCAGCGGGTCGGGTGTTGTTTTTTTTTACTAATGACCGCCTCGCTGCACATTATCCCTTACTTCACCTTACATGTAAGTCTCTGCCTTTAACTATTGCCTGCCCAGGGACAACAATGCCTTTCTGGCTCTCTGAGAATAAAGTCACAATTCTGAGGAAAAGTCAAAAGGTTGATATTCAATCCTGAATTCAGAATTTACAGAATGCTTGAGTACAGAAGACCATTTTTTTATTTGGGGTCTTTTTTTGTGTATTTACTATTAGATTTTTTCTCAGAAAGTCTTTAATCTCAGAACTGGAAAAAGGAAATCACTTTAGGTTAGATCTCCTCTGTACTCTAGATTTCTTAAATATCGAATGCTAGAGTACAGAAGAGTAAAATGGACACGTGTGAAATTTGTTTTGATATTTAACAAAAAGTTTATTTTACTGTGTTACTGGGTCCTGCCCCATATCACACACACACACACACACACACACACACACACACACACACACACACACACACACACACACACACACACACACACACACTGTACAACACGTACCTACAGCTCCTAAAGCATATATCAGGCTACAGCCGTTGTGTATTTTATTATGTGAAGCACTAAATGGTTTTAGTCAAATATGGACTCTTTGTTTGTAGATATCTACTAAACTAAAGCATACAAATAAAGAGAGTAATGTAAGCCTGTTATACTGAGAACTGTTTGCTTTCCAATTTGTTTAGGTCCCAGATTGTGGAATGATAAAACACTAGAAGAAAAAACATCTGAAACCCCTCAGCACAGTAGTAGTTTTGAAATGTCTGCATCTGACTCCATTGAATCCAAGTCCTCTCTGATGGACATTGAAGCTTCTCTGAAGGCCAGTTTCCTGTGTGGACTGATAGAAGTTGAAGGATCTGCCAAATATCTGAATGATGAGAAGAAATTCAAGAATCAGAGCAGAGTGACCTGTCAGTACAAAGCTACCACCAACTTCAAGCAGTTGTCAATTGATCATGTGACCCTGGACACCAAACAGATGGAGGTTATTGAGAAGGACTTGGCCACACATGTAGTCACAGGCATCCTGTATGGGGCAAATGCTTTCTTTGTGTTTGACAGTGAGAAGTTAGAAGCCAGCGAGGTTCAGGAGGTAGAGGGCAGCATGCAAGCTGTGATAAAGAAGATTCCTACATTTGATGTTGAGGGGAAAGTTGACATCAAGCTGACGGCTGCAGAGAAACACCTGACTGAGACATTCTCCTGCAAATTTTACGGAGACTTCATTCTCAAAAGCAACCCAGCAACATTTAAAGATGCAGTGCAGACCTATGTAGAACTTCCACAGCTACTGGGAACAAAGGGAGAGAATTCGGTCCCAGTGAAGGTCTGGCTGATGCCGCTGAAGAGTTTTGATCCCAAAGCAGTTGAGCTGAAGACGGGGATCAGCATCGGACTAGTGAAGAAGGCCCAAGATGTTTTGGAAGATTTAAAGGAAATAAGAATGAGATGCAACGATTCTCTGGGAGACAAAGTGGCAGAGCACTTCCCAAAGATCCGAAAAGACCTAAGCACTTTCCAAAAACTGTGTGGTTATTATGAATCCAGCCTCCAGCAAGCCATGACAGAGAAAATTCCCTCCATCCGAGCAGGAAAGGAAGATGAGAGCTCACTGGAAGAAGTCTTTAAAGCCAGGCACACGTCACCATTCAGCCATGAAAAACTAACCAAGTGGCTGGATCACAAAGAGAGAGAAATCAACGTCATCAGGTCCTGTGTGGATATGATGGAGGGTGTTAAGATCGTCCCAAACCAGTCTGAACTGGACAGAGAGGTTCTTGGAAACTACAATGTTCTGTGCTTTGTTTTCACCTCCATGGAGAGTGCTGACCCCTGCCTTGAAGCGATGGATCAATACATAAACTCACCAGAATGCGCGAGCACTGAAGAGGAGCCATGGTACTACTCAGACGACGTCCTAATAAAGATGAGACAAAAAGTCGAATATTTCATGGCCTATATGAAAGCAATCTTGAATACTTGTTTCCTCATAGCAGCCATTGAAAATAAGAAATTCAAAGGAGCAACCATCTACGCCTACCAGAACGGCATTCTGCAGACTGAAGACTTCACACCACCCAGTGAGGTGAAGAAGCATTCCGGAGAGTAGAGATCTAAACTGGTGCAAGTCATTTTTCATGCATTTTCAGTAAAATATGTTCATATATCTTTTCTCTAAAAACCCTCAGAATGACTAATTAAATATTTTGTTTTGGTTTCTCCATTAGATGCCTGTGATCTCACACTGGAAGGAAACACTGCAGGCAACTTTCTTTTGGTCCATATAGTTTTCTTTCGGCTGTTAATCATTTTCTAAAGAGACTTTATTTAGATGTTTCTGTGATGATCAGGGTTAGTCTTCCTTCTGATGCTTGCAACACATTTAGGGGATATATGTGCTGACCTCTAACACACCAAATAAATGACCCTATTAACCCATATTAACCTGCAAATTGCAAAAGGTGTTCCACAGGGCTCTATCCTGGGGCCCTTTCTGTTTCATCTTTGTGAAGATGACTGTTATATCATTCTCTATGCCTCTACTGTTATATCATTCTCTATGCTGATGACTCTGTTGTGTCCTGTTATGTGGATGCTGTTACAATTCTTCAGCACTTCCTTACTGATTGTGAAGTTTCTCTCAATAACTACAAGTTAGTTCGTATGGGCAGATCCATTGAAAATCATGCCCTTAATCAGCCAGTATATGAATAATGGTAGTCTCATCTCTACTGAGAATGGAACAAATATTGAAAGTCAAATAATAAAAGTATCTTGTTTTTTTTATTTGGAAAGCAAAGTAATTTTCTAAATACAATTTGACTTTCTTCTTGAGGATCTTGAGGAAACTCTAATCCACACAATCTTTGACATCGGGCGGACTTTGGAGTTCAGTATCTTGCTTGATGACTGCAGGCACTGGGAATCGAACCACCGTCCTACCGACTCCTGAGCCACAGATGTATTCTTTATTATTTTTGTCAAATGGATCGATTATGTTGTAGTTTTAATTACAGGGTTTATAACCTTTTTTCACATGTTGATTGTGGGTTTTATGGATTTCTCTCCTTTTCTGATGACATTTTGGATGTTTAGCTGCATTAATAAAGTTTGATTCTCACATGTTTATGCTTCTTTTGTTGAAGTAGTGTGGTTCATTACAAATGTAAGTACGTGTACAACATCTGAGTTATCAGATCGATTTTGCACCTAGATTTATATATCTTATAGTATACAGTGCTTATTTTAATGTAGAGTACTTTACTCTTAATTTATTGATCAATATTTTTCTTATTCCTTCATTTTAATTTCACAATTACTTCACTCAAACTATTTAATTTCTCCTAGCGTCTTAAGTATCTTTCATGGTGAATTGTTGGAGGAGCCAAAACTATGCTGTAACTGTTGTGCATATGCCGACAATCCTTTGAATACCTTGTTTTTCAGAAGCAAAGGAGGTCTGTCTTTTAAAATAGGTCAAACTAAAGTACAAAGTCTCTAAGTCAAAAACATGTATTTGCAGCTCTGCAGGTACATTTCACATGTTCTTCAATATTCAGACTACAAACATGAATTCATAATAATAATAATGAATAACCAATTATTTAAATATGTATTACTACTGTCTCTGTTGTTGGAAACTTAGCTAAAATGTTTGATGGTCTTATTTTAACAAAGTGATCACATGACTCCTTCTGATGTTACTGACGTTCTGCTGTAAGCTAGCTAGCTAACGTAGCTAACCTAGTAATTTCAGATATACTGACAAACACTTACAGTTATGAGACGACTAACTCTGAGACAGAGACAGTTGATCAGCTTTATAATCCTGAACCTCAAATGGTTGAAATGTACATATAGAAAATAAATGATTTGGCTTTAAAGTCAAGATCTTTAACACGAATGGAAACCAACGTTGATGAGGTCAACACAGCTTTACAGGTTATAGGACAAATCACAATTATAACGATAACTATTGTTAAAGAGGAATTGTTTAACAATGTCAGATTGAATAATAAAGTGAGGATGTGAAACAGTTTGACAATCAAGTAATGTCACTTTGAAATGAACATGGTAATGGTTTTGCTGATTTTCCAAAAGTTGAGTATAAGGCCTGTCTTTGAGTTAGTCAGTGGTGTACAGTCAGTCATTTTATATAAACAATATTAATACCAGCATCCCTCAGGAAACAGACCCAGGCCAGTAAAACCATAACTGAGCTTCTATCACGAACATTTGTGATTTCAAACTCAAACATTTTCACTGGAAAAGTTGAGGGAAGTGAGTTATCTCACAAAAATATGAATTAAATATATATATTTGACCTCATCCTAATTTAACTAGATGTATTGGCACAACCCTCGGCGTTGTCCCAATACAAGAAAAGACTACCAGACTGTTGATAAGTTGGAAATATATAATATGAATTGTTTCTGCTCTGATTACATTTGTTGCTGGGTTATTTTATATTCTCAAACTCTGGATTGAGAATGTTGGTTATTTAGCTGGGTTAAATCCACACTGATGGGTAGTTTTGATTCTGTCTTGAACAGTTTTCCAAAACATAGGTCCTCTACATACAGCAGGGGGAGCCAGTTTCTTAAATTAAATAAAGGTTTGTACCTACTTCTGTTTCTAGCAAGTGATAATGTAGAGACAGACAAATGGCAGTCTCTATTGTAATACAAAGTTATAGTAAATTAGTGATGGGTATTTCTGTAACGTTAGCTTGTGTTAGCTTGTGACTTTCATTAAACATCCATTAGCTGATGTTAGTTTTTGACTTTGACCTAACAAACGTTTGCTAAAGTCAGCTTGTGACTGTCATTAACATTCATTAGATAACGTTAGTTTCAGAACATTCTACTACAGACGGAGACCAAGCAGTTTCAATGTGATGTGGTGTTCTCTGTATTAATACTTGAGGTTGGCCATCATGTATGGACAGCTTCATCACAGACACATTATCTTTATGGCAGCATTGTTTTTTACTGAGAGAACATCTTGCTAGAAAGCCTTAGTTTGGGGTTGGCTGACCAGACCTTGATATTAGCACACAATGCATTTGAGAAGGAAGTGTTTAAAACAGTCTGTGCCAGCAGCAAAATAACAAGGTCCTTCTTTGTTTTAGCAAATGTATGAAGGAACAGAGTTATTCACATCATGTTGTTGTCACAGACAATATCAACTATATATATAGCTTAAAAAACAGATCAATAAAGTGAAATAACCCTTTGGTTAGCCTTAGTAAAACAATACTGTGAGATAACATTTATGAAATGTGCTTTATCTGATATTACAGTTGCAGTGTGGTGGGGTTACAAACGCTACATTCATTTTTTAGTTAAAGGCCCTTCTTTGTTTTCTGTCTTTGTTCACTTCCTTGTTCCTTGAGTTTGTTTTTTACCTTTAATTTAATGCCTTTTTAATTTAATGTTTAGATAAAAAATGAGGGAACACGTTAATCTAGTGCATTCACACATTGGTTTGTCAAGTTGAATTCATAAGAGTCTCCAACAAACATGAATTCATTCATCAGAGTTGCATTATAAGAAACTGCAGAGTGTGGATATCGATTGCGTGGCCTTGGCTCGGATCTGACATACCTGCTCTGCCCTGATCTACTACTAGCTGTTAACTAGCTAGCAACCATATCGCTTTTGAGAAGTGTCCAGTGTTCCACATCTAACTGTTTGTGTTCGTATTGAGAGCCCCATCCAGGTGCTTATAGTGCATTGTGCCATACTTGGCATGGGGAAGCACTGATAACCAGCACCTAATTCTGATTCTTACCACCCATGGTATGCAGTGGCGGCTGGTGGAAAATATTTTAGGTGGGGCTGTGGAAACTGGTGACCAAACAATACTAGGAACAATTTGAGAAATAACCCCTTAAATGATGACTTCTGGTGATGTTAGAGGGGGGGGGGGGGGGGGAGAGGACAAATTGAGGCTTAAAAATATGAGAAGACTGATCAATATCTCCATAATCTTCAGTGTGGTTAGCTATGAATCTTCCAAAACTTCCAAACACCTTGTCCTGGACATAGTTTCAGTACAGTAGGCCCACACAAACTGCAGAACACCGGTGCTTTGGGAACACTCACAAATGATTTAATTCCCATTTAAAATCAGGAGCCAAATATGAGCATTATTTGCAGACACAGATGTGGTTCAGAAACACAGAAATATTAGAAAACAGAGCATTAAGGCAACAAATCTAGTTTGATGGATGCTGTCAAAACTATATACAATAATATACATCAAAATACAACTATGTACAAATGGGATCACAGGAACTAAGATGAAGTGTGTGTGTGTGTGTGTGTGTGTGTGTGTGTGTGTGTGTGTGTGTGTGTGTGTCCTAGCATTACTATACTTGTGGGGACCTAAATCTGTTTACACAGTCACGTGTGGGGACTCGCCTCCCTCATGGGGACAAAATGGAGGTCCCCATGAGGGGAATCATTCATTTTAGGGTGAAGACTTGGTTAAGGGTTATGTTAAGACTCCAGGAAATGCATGTAAGTCAAGGTAATGTCCCCTGAAGTGATGTATACATGGTATGTGTGTGTGTGTGTGTGTGTGTGTGTGTGTGTGTGTGTGTGTGTGTGTGTGTGTTTATTTCTAAAGGAATGTTGCCCGTCTCTCCTTCTGAGTGGAAAACCTCTCAATGACTCTGGTATTGAAGTCAGGAATGCTCCTAATGAGTTTTTTCTCGATTGACAGCATAGCCAGAGCATTCAGGCGATCCTGTGTCACCACTGCAAGCCCTGAACTGGTCATTGTCTTAGACGAGGGACAGTTCCGTCTTGAGCTTTGCCTTGTCCAGTAGAGGGTAGGCCTCCACAGTTGTTTCCAGCGCTGCTTCAGGGAATGTTCGGCTGTGTTGCTGGAACAGGTGTCCTTGCAGGAGGGTGGAGCTGATGAGGTGTTTGGTGAAGGAAAATGTCTCCTTTGCGTGACTCAGTATGGTATCACATACCTATGAAATAATGCACAATAAAAAAATCAAGACATAATAAATAACAGAATCACCTTTTCACATCTATCAGTCATGATGTCATTCGTGTCCCCTTATAAGATGTGTAACAAACAAAAGCTTTCATGTGAATGGAACCTATCAGAATAACAGGACATCTATCTGAGCGTCAACAGAACAATATTACTGTTTAAAATTAAGTCACTACAATATATACATTTAATGACTATGTTTGCACTTCATTCATTCATTGTTGGGCCCTTTCTGTCCACTGTGGTTGCTTCTGGAAGCCTAAACCTTTTCTGATCTGTCTTGATCTCCTTTGAAATGTAGAGACTGTGGGACACTTTTTGCAGTTTAGGCCTTGTTAAGTGTATACAATTCAGAATGTAATAAGCAATAGGCCTTTCCATGTGGATATTTTAACTAGCCTACCTATTTATTGAATTGACAGAAAATGGGCTTTATTGTGAAATGGATCATTATTGTGATGTGAAATTACCTATATTATGAAAGGAGTTTTTGGTCATAGAACACGTTCCTATTACTGCTTACCTCTCTAGCCAACAGCTGTTGCTCTTCATGTCCAAGTGCCCTCCGTTTCTTTGTGGGCGGCTGCTGCACAGATCCACTGTTTTCACCAGAAGGAATGGAGTCCCTGATCCAAACCACAAGTAACCACGTGCAATTACTCATTGTGGCAAGAATTGACAAATTAGGTTTGACTATTTGAAATAGTAATCAGAAATACACCTTATAAACATGATATAATATATAAATTTCCAATAAGCCTGTTTAAGATATTTAAATAAGTATGTGAGTTGGTCTATTGTGTTTCACAGATTTCCTATAATAAGCATTTCTCAGCCATTGTAAATAATGATTTACCTGATTGTTTGAATGCTGCTGGTGAACCTCTCGATGAGTCCTGTGCTGTAGACATAATGAGGTTCAGGCAGCTGATGCGCATAGCAGTGGACGTAGTGCGCACTACTGTACACATCCTTTACTTTCCGCTGAACTCCACCTTTAGCTCCCCTCATCACCGCTGCACCGTCATATGCTTGGCCGATTATTTTGCCCTGTTGTCCATCGGGAAAGATAGTGCCCAGCCTCTCCATCAACTGTGTCAGCATTCGCATTCT